CAATTTTGTAAGAAAGAAAGATTTAAAGTACTTACTTTTGAAAGAAATCAAAAGGAATAGAATCAAGGCATGTTTGAACATGCTTTTCCATTTGAGCTTCAGTAGTAGGGGCAGGCATCATCCAGTAGTTGAATTTAGCATAACCCTAGCACTGTTCAATGAAGTTCAATTCACAATGGAATTTAGGATAAAAAACTGCCTTGTGTTCATAGCCTTCTACCAATTCTTCAATTGCAGACTTTTGAGCTTGAAAATCTGGCTGGTTAAACAGAATTCATTGACAGCAGCATACTGATTGTGCTGATTTGTCAGCACACTTGAAACCTTTGTATTGTGCACGTTTTCCATCAACATTAATTCCTTGTTCTTGAAGGATTTGGGCCATCCCTTTAAATTGGCCAGAATGATGAGGGTGGTTATCAGGGAAATAAAATAATTATAATGAACCATCAGGGAGGACTCTAGAATGCATGGGAGGGGCACCAGATGTGTCTCTAGCTTTCCACCCTGGATTTTTAGGCATTTGACATGCAGATAATGTATTACTTACTCTTTTTTAATGAGAAGTAGTATTGTCAAATGTAAAGAGAGCTGTTTTACTAGGGAAACAGCTCTCAAAGCACTTGATAGCCTGTAAGAGCTACTGATAAAGATCATTATGAGTGAAATACCTATCCCAGTTCTTGCCAGCTCTAAAGTAAATTCATGCCTCCTATGATCTATAAGAATAATTTCAGTCTATTACTACTGAAATGAGTTATAATACATACCTATCTGATGACTTTAGCCATCCAAACTGACTACAGAAGTCTGAGACCATAATAGAGAAGCCTTCACCCTTTGCTCTCAGTTTGGCAGAAGTACTATTATGGACCCACATTATTTTCCTCTAATCATTTGTATAAAAGGTTGATTCATTATGAGTGACAAGAATGAGAGAGCCAGCCTCCATCTCCTTCTCATAATCAGCCTAGAGTGGGAGGAAAACATTCTGCCTGTAATGAACAACATCCTCACACTTGTGCCCATCCACATACATTCCATTTGGAGCTTTGCCATAGTAGTACCCTATAACATGCATTCATTTCCTTACAGTTTGTAAGGTAATAGGTTTAGAACAGCCTAACTTAGCTAGTAGGGATGGTTGGTTTAGATAGTCTTGAACGTCCTGAGCAGATAAGTACACCTTCCTAAGACCTTGTAAATGAGTATGAATTTCTGACACAAGATCTTCATTACTAATAATGGACCTCTTCCATCTCCCATACAAGTTGATAGGATAGAAAGTGTCATCATTAAAGTGTAGCCAGGCCTAATACTGAAGTTTTCTAGCCAAGTATTCACTACAGTTCAATGTTACAGAAGTAGCAAGTACAGAAGCTTCCTTCCAACTCATATCCTCACTATCAACATACAGGTGCAAGAAGACAAGCAGAGTAGTGACTTGTGCACAGAGTAATTTGTCTATGTCCTTTCTCTCAGACATGACTTGGAAGTGCCAGATAGTATCAGCTAGACTTGGGTCATTACAGTCTAGTACAACAAATAGATGCTTGGAGTTATTAGCAACATCTGGCAGGTCACACAGTGTACTTGTCTACTGGAAGGCATGAATTTGGGTATACAATACAGTAATCTGGACTGGTACAGGTACAGGACTAATGTGTGAGAGTACAGAAGTGTTTACTGTTACTTCTTAGTCAAAGTGTGTGAGTGAGCACCCTACTCCTTATTCTCTGATACTATTAATGTCTGTGTTAATGTATTGACCTTTACTTGTATTGTAGTCCTGTGAAAATTGCTCTGGTGCACTATGCTACAAAGTGAGGGTTCTAGTAGTTACAGATGACCCCTTGTGTGAATTCCTAAGGATTGTGTATACAGATTGGCTCTCTAACTGATGATTGATTGAGATAGTGTCTTCTTCATTACAGTTTGTAGTAGGGATAGGCTTGGAGGACAACAACAAAGCTGTGTTAGAGTCTCTACTAGTTAGAAGTGAAAGTGATGCCTTGAGTAGAGCAACACCCCCACCTGGCAGAATGCCTACCTCAACATCTGTACAAGTAGTATTGATTGTATCATTGTAACAGTTCTTCTTCTCTGTCACCTCAAGATCATTCAAACTACAAACCTGTATCACTACAACTCCACTAGTAAGCCTTGTAAGACAATCTTGAAGCTTTGTCTTATTGTATTTGCCTGTTGTTAGGTCATTTAGTACAGAGTGAATCTGTTCACAGTATGCCTGAATAGCATCCTTTAAAC